CGTGCTCATTATTAGTGTGTCCCTGGACTAGTTTAGAAGCCTCACAGCAGACTGACCCATCTGCCTGGGGCCTCCCCAGAGTGGCCTCGGCCTCTGTTGCTGTTGTCTCTCTGGGAGAGCTTGGCGTGTACCTCCTGCACAGCAGTGTGGGCTCACCGTCCCCTCCTGCTGCCCCCTCCCTCGGGGGTACCCTGTTCCTTTCTGCCCACTGACCTCCAGCCCAGTCTCCACAGGCCCATCGGGCAGTTTTTTAGAAGGCTTTCTTGGACTGCACACAGCTCTGTGCTGTGTTGACTGGTGAAATGTTTCTCATGGTTCCCTCAGGGGCCGAAAGCTTGAGGAAAGCAGCAAGCCATGCATCGTAACACCTCCAGTAATGCCTGGCTCACTGCCCGGCACGCTGTTGGCTCTCCATTTCTTCCAGGTGGTACATGGTCTGGAACATTATACCAACTCGAAGTAGGTGGTTTCCAGTTAATGGATAGGGAGGCCTAAGCTGGGAGCTAGTAGTCTTTTGTAAGATACGTGATTCGTTTGTGACACAATTAGGGCCGTAAACCAGCCCTGGTGGTTCTCCATCACATTCCCTCCTGTCCCCTGCAGGGCCCCAAAAGTATTGTGTGGGAAGCTATGTGTCCTCTCTCTAGATAAAGCAGCAGGGGCTGTTGGAAGCACAGGTGAGGTGCCATCCCAGAAGAGGGACTTCCATTCTGCACCAGCCACAGCCTCTGGGGAAGCCTCTAGAAGGTCCTTCTCTTTTTATTTTTCCCCCCAGCTTTATTGAGGTATAATCGACAAATAAAATCATAAGATATTCAAAGTGTACAACGTGATGATTTGATAATTCCCAGGGGTTAATGAACACATTGATCACCTCACATATTTACCTTTTGTATGTGTGTGAGAACGTTTAAGTTCTCCAATTAGCAAGTTTCAATTATAGAAGACAGTGTTATCAGCTGTGGTCACCACGTTATGCATTAGATCCTCAGGCCTTGTTCATCTTATAGCTGAAAGTTTATACCTTTTTACCAACCTCTGTGTATTTCCCCACACCCCAGCTTCTGGCAGCCGCTTTTCTACTCTGTTTCTACCAGCCCATCTTTTTTTTTAGATTCCGCTAGACGTGAAATCATACAGTATTTGTCTTTCCCTAACTTATTTCACTTGGTGTATTGCCCTAGATTCACCCATGTTGTCGCAAATGACAGGATTTCTTTCTTTTTTAAACGCTGAATAATATTCCATTGTATAAGAAAGGTCCTTACTCGGCAAAGTATAGCAGCCCTTATCTGGGAGATCAGTAGTCATTACTCAGGGTGGGGAAAATGCCTGCTATGTATATCTACCTAGGTCACAGTTCTTTTTAATTTCAGGTTTTGACATTGCAGGCTTTTGCATCTGACATCTTTCACTTTGTACAGTGGTTTTGAGAGTCTTTTATATTGTTTTGTGTGTGATTAGTTCATTCCTTTTTATTGCTGAGTAACGTTCCATTGTATGGATGTACCACAATCTGTATTCTAACCCATGTCTTTTCATTTTCTTCGTCCAAATGCTTTTCAGCATAATTGATTTTTTTATTGGCAAAGTAAATTTTGGTATATTTCTACAGCCATCAGATTTCTTTTATTTCAGTCATTTATTCAACACATTTAATGACTCCCACGAAGCCAGCAGCTTTGAGACAACCTCCTCTATGTGCACTGAGAGTCATACCAAGCCGAGCCCTGAGCCTCGCCACAGGGAGCAGAGTGTTTAAAACACGGGCAGACCCTTCATTTTGGAAGACTAAGCTAGCAGTGGTTCTCTACCCGGCTGCGCTTTAAAATCTCCCGGGAAACTTTAAAAACACGGGGAGAGGGGAGAAAACCAAACCCACCTGATGACCAGGCCTGGGGTGACCAGCTGTACCGTTTTTGCCCTGAGTTGGGGGTGGAGTTTCCCAGCATGCCGGCCTTTCAGCGCCTACACCCAAGCGGCCTGGCCCCACCCCCTGGGGCGGGGCCATCAGAGTTGCGTCTGCGCACTGGTCTATTTAAAGCCCCCCCCCCCCACCCCAGGTGACTCCAGACTGCAGCCGAGGGTTGATGACCGACGAACGAGCTCCCGCAACTCTCGGGCTTAGAACTCACCAGGTTCCTGGAGGTAACAGCAAGGAAGGAAGACTCTGCCCAGGCTGGTTAGAGCTAAGGTGGTGAGAGGGGAGTGAGTGACCCAGCAGCACACAGTTTTCCTTTATTTTTAAAAACTCATTCGTCTTTTTAAAGGGAAGGAATATAAACCATCCTTCAGTATGGGCAGACAGTGCTGTGTGATGCAGAGAGGAGTAAAGCAGGCCAGGGAAAAGCCCTAAACAGGCAGGCTGATAGCTCTGAGCCCGCAGCTGCAGGCCTGATGCAGCTTTTAAGCTCAGCAGAACAAACATTGAGCTTATGTATTTAATCCTGAGTCCTTGCAGGCTGACACCAAATCACGTTGCCTGTTTCTCTTGTTGCTTTTCTAGGGGTTAGCAGCAGCCTTGCAGGCCTTATTCCCATAGTTTCAAAGAGTTCTCTTGTCAAAAATTCTTTCTGCAACATTACTGTGGACATGATTCTGACCTTTGGTTGCCTTGAAGGTAGAGTCCAAAAGCAAGAGGGTCTCTGTCTGTGTGGGAAGTGACAGATGCAGTTGTATTATGGCCTGTTGGGTGGAGGCCTTGTCCGTAGTTCAAATTTTGATGTTTCAAGAAAAACCCAAGATTTAAAAAGGCTTGCAAATTCTGTTAACCTTTAGCCTGCAGTGTCGGATGTGGTCTGTTTGCCTTCCTGACTCTGTTGGTAGGGTAGCCAACCAACAGCCACCCTAACACAGCTCTCCTCTGTGTTCCTCTTGTCGCTAAGAGGAACAACCTCGTGCACGTGCACAGCACTCTGCCATTAAGAAGATGCTCTCCTAGGCTCTCCGAATCAATCCTCACAGCCTCAGCATGTAGGAGTCACGCTCCATTTTACAGGTAAGGAATCCAATTAAGAGCCTTGCCCAGTAGCTTGCAACGAGTTAAGTGGCAGAGCCAGGATCTTGGAACCAAGGTTTCTATGAGCGATGTGACTCTTCTGCCCGTTTGGATTCCCAATTTAAATGTTCTTGCCACTGAAGCCCTGGGACCACCGATCGGGAAGCAGAGAACGTGAGCCTTGACTCTTCTGTGAGTAAGCCTCGGCCCTCGGCAAGGCCTGCCCGGTGCAGGCCCGCGGAGGAGGGGTTGCTAACGTGTGCTTCCTTCTGTCTGCTTCCCTCCCAGGCGGGGAACACGGCTCTGCACCTGGCCTGCCAGAATAGCCACGCCCAGAGCACACGCGTCCTCCTGCTGGGCGGCTCCCGCGCCGACCTCAAAAATAACGTGGGTGGACAAAACCGACCTCCCTCGCGCTCTCTCATGTCGCCTC